AAAGAAGCTATTAAAGCTTAATTCTAGTTATCTAGCTATAAGCTTTACTTTTACTAGCGAATAGTAAGAGTTTATATTATTTTAGATATACCTTTCTTAAGGTAAGGTATATAGTATACTAAGAGCGTACCTTTAGAAATAAAGAGAAAGGAGGGAATGCTTTCTATACTAACGTAGCGGGAATTTTTAGTTAATACGCAATATATAAGGGCTTAGTAAAACTCTTTTACGTTCTATATATAGTATATATACCGAGATATAACTTTATATTAAAGTAGTATATAGCTTTTCTTACTTTCTCTTATTATTAGATATATACCTATTACCTCGGTACTATATAATATAAAGCACTCTATATATACTAATTATACTAATTATTTATATATATTATTTACTTTACTTTATTAAAAGTACCTATTTACTCATAATAACTATTTATATAGATCTTTATCCTCTTCTTTATAGTAGATACCATATAGATTTTATACTTTAATAATCTATTTCTTTAAAGATAAAACGCTTAAAAGTTAAATATCTTACTCTAAGCTCTAAGCTTCTTACCTTACGGCAATATAGACTAAGATTCGCCTTTTACCTCTTCGCTATTAACTTAAGGTAGTTAGTATAATTATCTTAATTTTTTTTTAATAGAGATAAAGACCTACTATCTCCTTTTTAATCTTTTAATTAAGGAAGTAAAGAAGGTAGTACTATAGATACTAGTATAATTCCTACTTATAGGCTAGTATCTCTTAGAAAGCCGCTATGCTTTTAGTATTAAGATTATTAAGATTTCCTTAATTAGTAGATATCTACTAGCTAGTATAAAACGAGATTTAAAGCTAACTTATTAAATAATATTTAATCTCCTAGGATAATATACTCTTAAGTAAGTATCTTAAGCTCTAATACTATTAATATAGACATATCTCCTTATAAGAAGAATACTCTTTTAATCTTTAATACTTCGTATTATTTAGATATATAGTAGCCTTTTAAGGAAGGCGTAAACTATAAGATAGGGGAACCTTAGGTAATTTATATATCCTACTAGTTTATACTAATCTATCCTTATATTAAAGGTTCTAGTATAAGCGCTCTTATACGCTATAGGCACGGTAAGTTTTATATTAAAAAATAGTAACCTAAGAATATATTTTAATCTACCTAAGTATAAAAGAAATATACCCTAGTATATTTATATATATTATATAAAAATATAGTAATCTATTATACTAATCTTATTATAGGGCACCTAAAAATAAAAGCTATAATATTAACGTTATCTTACTAATTTTATTTCGTAGATATACTTAGCCGTTAATATCGTAAACTATAAGTCTTTCTAAGACTTAGTTTATTTCTACTATCTAGAATTCTATATTCCCTCCGCCCTTATACTAATAAATTTAATAGAGATAATCGCTAATAATCTTCGAGAAGTATTAATTAACTATATACCTTCTAAATAGTATCTCTCGCTAACTATCGATAGCTAGACTTAAACTAAAAATATTAAAGTAGTCCTTAGAATTATTAGTTACTACGTCGATTATAATTAGTACTTATAGCTTCTTCTACTCGGCCTAATAAATATATTAGCTAGCTATTCTAAGGAGTTATAAAATAATACTATTATATAATATCTATAAAGGCGTTGTATTTTAGATTAATTTAAAAGTATTACTACTAATAATAGTATATATCTTTATTTAGGAGACTTATAAGGGAAACTTAACTTATATCTAGGGATTAATATACTAAGTACGATTTACTATATACGATATATTACGTATATTCTTAACCTTCTTATATCTAAGATACTAGATTATAAAAAGCTTATTAAGATTAAGGTAAAGTAGAAACTAGTTATATAAAGTTATTCTTATATAATAGGAACTCTATAAAATAACTATAATAGGGAAGAAGTAAGTACTAATAAGGATATACTAAGTAACTTATCTATAAGTATAAGCAACGTTATCTTAGGAATAATAATAAAGGTAAGTTAATACTAATTAGAATACTATAACTTATATACTAATCTTTATATTAACCTTCTTAGATCTATATACTAGTATTAATACTCTATTTAAGCGCGAAGTAGATAAAGGTTTTCTTTAATATTTAATAAGAGGTCTAACTAAATAAATAACTATTAAGTATTTCTAGTTATATTATTATATACTAGAACTCTACTATTATAATACTTAAGAGAGCTAAGGAGCTATAATAGGCAATTAATATACTTCTTACTAGTAATACCTAGCTTAGCCCGCCTTTATCTACTAATAATTAAGAGTAAATTAACTACCTAACTAATATTAAGAAGATATTCCTATAGCTTATAAATAACGTTAGCTAGGGGAAAGATATAATACTCTTAGAATCTTAGAACTCGCTAAAGATAATTTATAAGTATCTTATTTACTCCCGTACTAAAATTACTAATATTTATAATACTAGTAATAACTAGTAAAGTATACTAATAATAGTAATTAATAATATAGAGAAAAAGCTTACTAAGTATATTAACTACCTCTAGAAGGAAAAGAAAGTATATATAATTACTACCTTACTTACGCCCCTATTAAGTATTAGTAAGCTTAATATTCGTTAAGTAGGATTACTTATTTTACTAAAGAAGGAGACTAAAGCTAATCTACTTAGTTCTAAGTAAGTATAAAAGACTTATAAAGATATATTTATTTCCTATTACTAATAACGATTCTTATAGTTATTAGTATAATCCTTTAATACTAATATTACTCTTAACTCTTATAAGGACTAGCTTACTTAGTTTCTTAGTTTAATAAAGGTAAATAGTATAATAATTTATAGTAATTATTTATACTAATTATATATTAAGGGACTTTATAAGGTAATAAAGGTATTTCGGTTTATAGGGCTTTTTTTAAAGAAAGTAAGTTTTTATTTATTTATATTAATATATAAGTAATATACTAATCTTAGCTAAGGAGGTTACTATCTAAGGATATATATAGCTTTTAGCGCTATATATCTTAGTATAAAAGGTATAAGAATATTTATATTATAGCACGAGAATTTCTAGTAATATAACTAAGTAGCGTGCCGCTTAAGCGCGCTTAGAGCATTTACCGGTAGATTAATATATACTAGCGATCTAGGACGAAACTCTTAAACTTATAGGCGAGATTTACGCTATTAATCCTATAGTCTCGATTCGACGTATAAGATAGTATCCTTCTTTAAGATATAAAGATTAATAATAGTATTAACCCTATAAAGGAGTATATAGATCGGCTATATAAACTTAATATAGCTCTAAAGATATTTTATACTCCTAGAAATAGGAATCCTTTTAGTAGAATTCGTCTTAATAAAGAGACTATAATACTATATAAAGAAGATTAAGATTGAAGTAAGAGATTTTATACTTACCTATAGCCTATAGGTATTATCTAATAAAAGCTTTTTATAGACTCTCTCTAAATATAAACGTAAAGCTAGTAAGGGAGAGATAAGTATCGCGATATAATTAATATTGCTCTACTAAGTAATAACGAGTCGGAGGAAGTAGAGGAGATAGAGGAAGTAGAGGAGATAGGGGAAGTAGAGGAGATAGAGGAAAGTAACTCTTATCGGGAAGAATAAGTTTAAAGCCGTAAGAAAAAGCAAAAAGGCTATATAGTAATAGAGGCAATAGTCGCCTCCTCTATAAAGAGAACTAGATATAGGGAGAATATTCGACCGCGATAATAGGACTTTAAATATTAAAAGGATAGTTAAGGTAGAGAATAAATAATATCTATAGGATCTTATCCTTTAATTTAATACTACTTTTAGCTATACGGCCTACGTATATTTTATAGGTACCTCGTATTAGGATAAGTATCAACGATTAGTATAATAAAACTAAATAGGTAATGCCTATAGGTAGCCCGAATATACCTATATATATTTTTAGGTACCTATTTTAAATTTGCCTACCTACTAAGTATTTATAGTGGCCCTAAAATAGCCCGTGGGTAGGTATGGGTAGCCCATAAGTAAATACCCATGGGTATTTTTAAGTCTAAAGTATAGGACAGGGAGGCCAAAGGGGGCAGGTCCGAGACTACAGGGGACAGTGTAAGGTGGCGATGATGCGTGTAACTGAGCAGGATAGTAGTCGTTGAGAGACTTGCAAAATAACAACGGGCGCCGGATCTGTTGTGGGCGCAAACGGTTCTCCTCGTCTCGCGTTGCGGTTCGCCCTCCCGTAAAGGGAAACGCTTGACAGTTACATATTCTCTAAGTCCATCTATGGGCAGTTCTTGTCACGAGCCACGATTTGGTTGCGGTTCGCCCTCCCGTGTAGGGAACCGCACATCAGTGACAGATTCTCGGATAAGAGCGATCCGGGCCCTGCCTCGCCACCACCACGCCCACAACAGCTGCGCCCGACTCAAGCCGTCACCGGATGATATTAAATCCCCGGCACTTGGGATGCGTCTCAGCGCATGTCATCTGTTCTGGCCCAGCTTAAACATCGCATAACACGTCGCCTCCTGGCTGTTTCGGCAGTCATGTCTCTTTAGTCGGAGGCAGGAGTCGTGTTTCGGCTTAGCGCCCTCCCAGCTCTCGGCATCATTATATCGCCCTCCCTCTAAACTCATCTCCTGCTTTAGATTCCACCCAAGTCTCTTTCCTATCTAATAATGGCCCATGGACATAAAAAGAATGCCTCTGCCAGGTTCCATCCAGCTTCTTTCCGCAACCTCATCCGCTATTTCATTCTCTCCTTCCCCGTTTTATTATCATTCTTCTCTCTCGAGTCTACGACTTAAGTCTTCGAGCTGTGCTCACTCTTTAGTCCATTCTTTCGATTCTTCTTGATAACCTTTTATCGCTTCCGTGTTCTCCTTCTATTCTCGACTGAATAGGCGACCACTAAGATGAAGTTTTCCGACCTTCTTACCTGTGCCCTATTCGCGGCCACTGCTTCGTTTACCTTGGCCCACCCTAGCACGGATGATATGAACAACGCAGATCTTATGGAGCGAGGTGAGTTGTCTCAATTGCTTCGTCATTCTTTAACGGGAAGATCACAAAAACGAGCTTACAACTATATAGCTGTTGGCCTTGGCCTCCCTGCGGCCCCTAATCTGGCCACCGGGCCTCCCCTGCGCCTTGAACGAAGGGCTAAGAAGGGGAATAAGGGGAAGAAGGGGAAGAAGGGGAAGAAGGGGAAGAAGGGTAAGAAGGGGAAGAAGGCCAAGAAGGGGAAGAAGGCCAAGAAAGCCAAGAAGCAGGCCAAGGCGCAGGCAGCTGTCGCAGCCAAGCCCAATGCCGCGGAGCAAGCACAGCTGGACGCTAACAATGCCGCACTGCAGGCCCAGAAGGCCAGGGCTGCGGGAGCAGCTAAAAGAGATAACACCGGCCTGCTCGAGGAGAGACAGGACAGCGACAACTAGCGAAAGATTCAGGCAGGAAAAAGATTTTGATACGACTATTCTAGAGTAATGCTTAGGAGAATTAAAGATAAATTAAGATCTAAGCAGCTATATTCTTTAACCTAAGGTAGCTAGATTAGCTTCTCTACGCCTAGGTAATATACTTTCTTAACTAAGACTTATCCTTCTTATACGCTAATATAATATAAAGCTATAAGATTTATCGAAATAGTTATCTACCTACTATTAATCTATAAGTGCTTCTTAAATAAAACGTTAGAGAGCTTATATAGAAATAATTAAGGAATATATACTTAATATAACAATAATATATATACCTCTTTTAGCTATATAAGACCTAAGGGGGTATTTATACGTATAAATACCTTACTTAGACTTTAATATAGAAGCTAGTATAGCCTTATCTTAATAGTAATAAGGTTCTAAAATAAAATTATAACGTCCCTTAGCTTTAATATAAAAGGAATAAATTACCCTCGTAGTATAGTAGTTATATACCTAGGAAGCCTACTAGCTATAACGCTAACGTTAGCCACCTAGCTTATAGCACACCCCCCTTCTAGCACCCTTCCTATAGCAAAGAGGGCACATTCTAACGGCAATTGAAGCCGCATTTTAACATCGCGATAGATCAATTTAGTGTTTTCTAGCTATTTAAGCTACCAGCTACTACATAGAGCTTTAAAATCTGCGTTCTAATTGGCTATTGCAATGGCAGACGGCTTAAGGATGCGTTCGAGCCGTTTTCTCGTCTTAAGGACTTGTTTAATGCGTACGAAGCGGCCATTGGGGTCTTATAGTATCTTTTTCTGCTTCTAAGGCCGTAGACGATATACTTAGTGCTTAAGTTATTGTATGCGTAGCTGTGCCGTTGCAAGCTGCGAATTCTAACGGTCTAGGGAGCGGCTAATTTTGTTAAAAAGCACTCGGGTTATGCGGTCAGCTCTGCCGCGCTTTGCTAGGCCAATAATAAAGCTACGGACTTCCTATAATCGTCTTAGTGTTTTAAAGGCATCGTTATTCGTCTAAGAGCTAAGGTTCTTCTTCTTTAGCGGCGTTAACGGTATCTTTAGCTATTATAAGATAAGGGGGCTCGTTAAGGGCTTTGCTATATTAACTGGCTAAAGACCGGCCCCTCGCTACCCTCCTTTAATGCTTCTTTCTATTAGACTAGTCTGCCGCGCCTAATAATAGCAGCGAAGGAAGAGAGCTTTACCGAGAGGCGCTATATTATCGAAAGATACGATTTTTTCGAGCTCGCGTCGGTAGGCGCCCTTAATTAGGGCAAAAACCGAGACATCGAGAGGTTAAATGACGTAAGAGGCGTGTAGTAGTAAGAAAAGGAGATATATACCGTGCTAGAAGCATTCGTATATAAAATCGTTAGTCTAATAGCTTCTATGGCTATCTAATATAAGAAGAACGTTGCTTTATAGCTGCTTTCTTATCTATAGGATAAAGATATCTTTAAGCCACCGAATCGCGATCTCGTCGCTTATCTAGCCTCTTAGGGAGGCCACGAAGTTCTAATCCTCTTAGTTATAGGCTAAAAAGCTTAATACCTAATTTTTCCTAAGTAGGCGAAGGTCGCCGCTAGCTCTAATAATGCGGCTAGCGAATTCCTTAAGCTGAAAGTGTGTAGGGGGCAGCCTAAGGGCGGCTTAGGTAAGAATCTAGTCCTTAAGGTGTTTCTCTTACTCTCGACTAAGCCGCTAATATAACTCTTATGCCTCTCTTATTAGTAGGGCGCCTTTAAGACGCGTTTAAAGCGTGCCTCTTAGAATACCCTACTTACGACTAGTATATATCTACGGCATCCCGTTTCTAATATCGAAAAGTGCTTCCTAGAGCTAATCTTCGGTGTATTTAGAAGCTCGAGGCATCGTGATTCGAATAGTATATTATTTATAATTATTAGATAGAAGGTGCACGAGAAAACGCGGTTGCGATATAATGTTAATGTCGGCGCGAGGGGGGTGGGGATGTGCTAGAAGGGGGGTATGCTATAAGCTAGGTGGCTAACGTTAGAGTCGGTTCGAATCCGGCTAGGGGCACGATTAATTTTTAGTCGGACTAGTAGACTACGCTAAACTACTTATTAATTAGCTAATTAGCGCTTCTAGAAGCGCTTATAAATATACTAGCAGTCTAGCCCCGCTATAAGTAGGCCGGCCCCGACCTCGCCTACTTAGACCTAGCGACGAATTCGTTAGGACCTCCCCCTAACCCCGGTCCGGGCCCCTTAACTAGGAAAATAAAAACCTAGGGCCGATACTAGTAACTTAATAAGTACGGCGCGAAGCCGGTGTAATAACCTAACTACCGGCCCGGCTAAAGGCCGGTATTAATAAAAAATAGCCCGCTAAGCCTTATAGCGGAAAAATAAAGTAGAGCCTAAGAAGATATCGTTATAAGATAAGGTTAGAGATAATTATATAATTAACTATTAATATAACGACCGGTATTATTCCTAAGGGATAAACCTATTAAGGGGTTTATATTAGTAGATATAATAGGGCGTAGTCTAAGTAATAATAAGTATATTATATTAGTAATAAGTTAGAGGTTATAAACTATAAACTATAACTAGGGAATTAAGTAATTAGAATTAAAGATAAGATAGTAATAAAGATTATAATAATTATAATATATTAAAAGCTATTAAGCTATCTATTTAAAGGAGTATTCCGTTCCTTCCTTATATATCTTAAGAGCTTCCCTAGATTATCGAGAGCACTAGGTAATCCTATCGCCTAGGAGCGCTAGAGCACTAGAGCGATCCTATGATCCTAGCTATAAAGCATTAAAGCGCTAGAGTAACCCGTCGCTTTAAACTTAATTAGCCCGTCGGTCTATTTAATATTCCTTACTCCCTACGTTATATATCCTTATAATATATACTAGTCCCCGCGGTTTACTAGACTATAGTCGTAATAGGATGCCTCCCTTCCTTTTAGTCTTACCCTTAAGACCTACTACCTTAGCCGCCGTATATAAATATACCCTTATTGCGTTATATATAAGTATATCGTTCCTTATTCCTTTATCCTTTTAGGATATACTACTAATAGTATATCTAGTTATATTTAAAAATCCCGTTCTTATAATTCTAATAAATCGTAATAACGATCGGAGCTAGTATCTTAGACCGAGATCTATAGTATTAAAATTATACCTTACTCCTATTATTTTCGGTTAAGCCTAACTTATAAGGTCGGCGAGCGTTCTAATTAGTATTCTAAATATATCTTTATAGGTCGTTTTTATAATAGTTATAATATAGCGTCCGCCTATTTATTTTATCCCTTTCCTTCTTTATTATTTTTTTCGCTAATATTCCTTCTTTTTTAGTTCGTCGTATTATAAATTAATAGTAAAAGATTAATTTAGATAAATAAAAAGTAAAAGAAGCGTTAAAGGAAGCGATAGCTCGCTTAGCTTAGATTAGGAAATAAAAGTATTTCCTATAGGACTAAGGTAGTAAGTTATTTTAGTAGGGTATATAAGCTATTAATAAAGAAGATAGTATAACGCGTTCTTCTTAAGATAAATTAGTTCGTTTATTAAATAAAGAAACTATTACTATTAGCGAGGTTTAATTACTTAGTGCCTTAGATATATTAGACTAAGATACTATTTTTAATAACCTTATATTTCTAAGTAAGGGTTCGCTTAGTAGAACTATTAAAGTAGAGAACTATAATAGGTTAAGTGCTTAAGTAGTTCCTAGGTATTTTCTTTTAGTTTATATCCTTTTTACCTAATAAGGTATTCTTATTACTAACCTTATTTTCTTATATCTAGTATTTATTTAGCTTTATATTCCTAATTATTATTAACTTTAATTTTAACCTATAGTTTAGCGTTTTATAGTACTAGTTCTAATAATAAGATATAAAATATTAGGTATATCTATATTACTATTAATAGCGAAAGTTTATAGTTAACTTTTAAAATAGTTTTCTTAACTTTAAATAGTCTAAGTTTCTTAAAATCTAATTTATTACTTAGTTATTTTATTTTACTATTTCGTCGTATAAGGTAGACTATATCTCCCTCTTAAAAGATTAGTCCTTATAATCTTTTCCGATTATAGTAAGTAGATATTCGTTCTTTAATAAATTAAAGTTCTTATTATATTTCTTTATATAATTCTTATAGCTAATTTACTTATAGCATCGCTCGTTCTACTTATAGTCCTTACTAAGTAACCTTAAATACTTCTAGGTTATATTTATAATTAGCGTATATTAGTAAGAGCTTAGTTATTTCTATAACTAAGCTATTATAAGCTAGTTACGCTATTAATAGCTATTTAACTTAATCGTTTTATTTATAGTTAATATAGTATTATAAATATTATTTAAGCGTTTAGTTAAGTCGTTCTATTTATCTATCTATTTATAAGTAATAAGCTATACTAAGCTTATATTTTATCCTTAATTATACTATAAGAGCTTACTAAAATTTAGCTATTAATATACTTCCTTTATTAAAGATAATCTTATTTAATAGTCTATAATTACTAATAATAGTTTATAGGAATATATATACTAGCTCTTTTATATTACTTACTTCTTTATATAGTAAAAAGTATCTATACTTTATTAATTTATTAGTAATAGTAAATATACTATTATACTTAACGTTAGTTATAGGTTCTTTTAATAGTTATAGCTTTATAATATAGTTAAAAGCTATTAAATCCTATAGTTTCTTTAGTACTAGTAGCGGTTATAATTCTCTATATAGTTTATATTATTTAGCTTTACCTTATATATAAAGTTTATATTCTTTAATAACTTATTATACTATTTCTTTAAGCTATAAAAAGTTATATTATTATTTAATCTATTCTATTATTATCGCAAAGCGTAGCCTAATTTCGTAGTTCTTAGAGATATCCCTTAGTACGAGGGACCTAGGAAGCTAAAAAACAGGTTTTAAGGAAGGAGCTAAAAGGAGGTATAGAGAGGAGGGTAGGGGCAAGAGGGGAAGCA